ATTATTTTCATATTACTACAAATAATACAATTTATGGTACAGAAATAAGAGAAGATATTGAATCTCCTATTCCTCTTGTTGCAGATATGTCTTCTGATATTCTTTCAAGACCAATTGATATTTCTAAGTATAGTTTAATTTATGCAAGTGCACAAAAAAATTGTGGAGCTGCTGGAGTTACTATTATTATTATCAAGAAAGAAATATTAGGTAAAGTTAATCGAAAAATACCAACAATTCTTGATTATCAAGTTCATATTTTAAATGATTCAATGTATAACACTCCACCTGTAATATCTATCTTTACTGTTAATCAAACTCTAAAATATATTAAGAAACTAGGTGGTTTAGAAAAGATTAAACAATTAAATGAAGAAAAAGCTCGATTATTATATGCTGAAATTGATAGAAATAAAATCTTTAAAACAACAGTACTTAAGAAAGATAGATCAATTATGAACGTTTGTTTTGTAATGGAAGATCATTACAACCAACTTGAAAATGATTTTTCTGAATATGCTTTCCAAAATGGAATAATTGGTATTAAAGGTCACCGCTCTGTTGGTGGTTTTAGAGCTTCAATTTATAACGCAGTTACAATCGATTCTGTTCATGCATTAATTAAATGTATGCGTGATTTTGAACAGTTACATATTCATTAATTGAAGTGTTTCTTATTAATCAATTCTTTTTTTACCTAAACTTTATTATAATATAAATTTCAAGTAATGAACTCAGTAAAATAGTTACTATTAATTGTATTCTTCTTTTCTCAATGAATATAAATGGTTCTGAGCTTTTTCTAATTCTTTTTGAAGTTGAAGAACACGAACTTGAGATTCCATTAGTTCTTTTTTACCCTCAATTCCGTTCTCTTTAGTTTTATTTTGTTTTTTAGTTTCTTGTTGTTGTTCTTGTTGTCTTGCTAAAATATTTTGAATGATTTTTTGAATTTGAATCATTAAAGAGCATAAACTTTTTTCTAACCTTTGAAGAAGAGGAGATTGATCTTCCATACTCACTCGAGCTGCAGTTAGTAGTTGAGAACAATGTGATTTAAATTGTTTTAGACCAGCTAAAATTCTTTCGTCTGGTTCTCCATTCATTAAAGCAGAACTTATATATTGTGCCCATTCTACAATCTTTTTTGCACAGCTCAATAATCCCTCTGACCAAACTTCGTTATTAGAATATGTTTGTATATTTTTTTCCTTTCCCTCTCGAATTCTTTCTTTTTCGCACTCTCCAGCTATTTGAATAAACTCCATAAGTCCTTGTGTTGAATCACCAAATCGTTTAATTGTTTCATTTTCATTAGCGTTGCAATTCTTTAAAGCATCTCTCACATCTTCAATTTTATTAATTTGATCATTAATTTGACTAAGAACGATATTGAGCTCTTCTTCTTCTTCATTAGAGTTAGTATCCTGGTTTTGTGAGTTTGAGGTTGTAAATGAGTTAAAAGGTGGTTCATCAATGAATTCATCTTGTGAAGTTTGAATGACCTTATCAAGACTTCCATCACCTATATAATCAAATAAGACTAAGTTATTGTCTTGATTTGTAGGTGTAGTTTCACTAGTATTACCAGATGAAGATGAGAGAATTGAAACAAATTCTTCAACACATTTTTGAAATTCTTCATACCCCTCATTCATTTGAAATAAGATCTTTATTTTGTCT